AATCACTGCACATGGGAGTTACTCAAATCACTGCACATGGGAGTTACTCAAATCACTGCACATGGGAGTTATTCAAATCACTGCACATGGGAGTTACTCAAATCACTGCACATGGGAGTTATTCAAACCACTGCACATGGGAGTTACTCAAACCACTGCACTTGGGAGTTACTCAAATCACTGCACAAGGGAGTTATTCAAACCACTGCACATGGGAGTTATTCAAATCACTGCACATGGAGGTTATTCAACCACTGCACATGGGAGTTACTCAAACCACTGCACATGGAGGTTATTCAACCACTGCACATGGGAGTTATTCAAACCACTGCACATGGGAGTTATTAAAATCACTGCACATGGAGGTTATTCAACCACTGCACATGGGAGTTACTCAAACCACTGCACATGGAGGTTATTCAACCACTGCACATGGGAGTTACTCAAACCACTGCACATGGGAGTTATTCAAACCACTGCACATTGGAGTTACTCAAACCACTGCACTTGGGAGTTATTCAAACCACTGCACATTGGAGTTACTCAAACCACTGCACATGGGAGTTATTCAAATCACTGCACATGGAGGTTATTCAACCACTGCACATGGGAGTTACTCAAACCACTGCACATGGAGGTTATTCAACCACTGCACATGGGAGTTATTCAAACCACTGCACATGGGAGTTATTAAAATCACTGCACATGGAGGTTATTCAACCACTGCACATGGGAGTTACTCAAACCACTGCACATGGAGGTTATTCAACCACTGCACATGGGAGTTACTCAAACCACTGCACATGGGAGTTATTCAAACCACTGCACATTGGAGTTACTCAAACCACTGCACTTGGGAGTTATTCAAACCACTGCACATGGGAGTTACTCAAATCACTGCACATGGGAGTTATACAAACCACTGCACTTGGGAGTTACTCAAACCACTGCACATCGGAGTTACTCAAACCACTGCACATGGGAGTTATTCAAACCACTGCACATGGGAGTTACTCAAACCACTGCACATGGGAGTTATTCAAACCACTGCACATGGGAGTTATTCAAACCACTGCATATGGGAGTTACTCAAACCACTGCACATGGGAGTTATTCAAACCACTGCACATGGGAGTAATTCAAATCACTGCACATGGAGGTTATTCAAACCACTGCACATGGGAGTTATTCAAATCACTGCACATGGAGGTTATTCAACCACTGCACATGGGTGTTATTCAACCACTGCACATGGGTGTTACTCAAACCACTGCACATGGGAGTTATTCAAACCACTGCACATGGGAGTTACTCAAACTACTGCACATGGGAGTTATTCAAACCACTGCACTTGGGAGTTATTCAAACCACTGCACATGGAGGTTATTCAAACCACTGCACATGGAGGTTATTCAAACCACTGCACATGGGAGTTACTCAAACCACTGCACATGGGAGTTATTCAAACCACTGCACATGGGAGTTACTCAAACCACTGCACATGGGAGTTATTCAAACCACTGCACATGGGAGTTACTCAAATCACTGCACATGGGAGTGATTCAAACCACTGCACTTGGGAGTTATTCAAACCACTGCACATGGAGGTTATTCAAACCACTGCACATGGAGGTTATTCAACCACTGCACATGGGAGTTACTCAAACCACTGCACATGGGAGTTATTCAAACCACTGCATATGGGAGTTATTCAAACCACTGCACATGGGTGTTATTCAACCACTGCACATGGGTGTTACTCAAACCACTGCACATGGGAGTTATTCAAACCACTGCACATGGGAGTTACTCAAACCACTGCACATGGGAGTTATTCAAACCACTGCACTTGGGAGTTATTCAAACCACTGCACATGGAGGTTATTCAAACCACTGCACATGGAGGTTATTCAAACCACTGCACATGGAGGTTATTCAACCACTGCACATGGGAGTTACTCAAACCACTGCACATGGGAGTTATTCAAACCACTGCACATGGGAGTTACTCAAACCACTGCACATGGGAGTTATTCAAACCACTGCACATGGGAGTTACTCAAATCACTGCACATGGGAGTGATTCAAACCACTGCACTTGGGAGTTATTCAAACCACTGCACATGGAGGTTATTCAAACCACTGCACATGGAGGTTATTCAACCACTGCACATGGGAGTTACTCAAACCACTGCACATGGGAGTTATTCAAACCACTGCATATGGGAGTTATTTAAACCACTGCACATGGAGGTTATTCAAACCACTGCACATGGAGGTTATTCAAACCACTGCACTTGGGAGTTACTCAAACCACTGCACATGGGAGTTACTCAAACCACTGCACATGGGAGTTATTCAAACCACTGCACATGGGAGTTATTCAAACCACTGCACATGGGAGTTATTCAAACCACTGCACATGGGAGTTATTCAAACCACTGCACATGGGAGTTACTCAAACCACTGCACATGGGAGTTATTCAAACCACTGCACATGGGAGTTATTCAAATCACTGCACATGGAGGTTATTCAAACCACTGCACATGGGAGTTATTCAAATCACTGCACATGGAGGTTATTCAACCACTGCACATGGGTGTTATTCAACCACTGCACATGGGTGTTACTCAAACCACTGCACATGGGAGTTATTCAAACCACTGCACTTGGGAGTTATTCAAACCACTGCACATGGAGGTTATTCAAACCACTGCACATGGAGGTTATTCAACCACTGCACATGGGAGTTACTCAAACCACTGCACATGGGAGTTATTCAAACCACTGCATATGGGAGTTATTCAAACCACTGCACATGGGTGTTATTCAACCACTGCACATGGGTGTTACTCAAACCACTGCACATGGGAGTTATTCAAACCACTGCACATGGGAGTTACTCAAACCACTGCACATGGGAGTTATTCAAACCACTGCACTTGGGAGTTATTCAAACCACTGCACATGGAGGTTATTCAAACCACTGCACATGGAGGTTATTCAAACCACTGCACATGGAGGTTATTCAACCACTGCACATGGGAGTTACTCAAACCACTGCACATGGGAGTTATTCAAACCACTGCACATGGGAGTTACTCAAACCACTGCACATGGGAGTTATTCAAACCACTGCACATGGGAGTTACTCAAATCACTGCACATGGGAGTGATTCAAACCACTGCACTTGGGAGTTATTCAAACCACTGCACATGGAGGTTATTCAAACCACTGCACATGGAGGTTATTCAACCACTGCACATGGGAGTTACTCAAACCACTGCACATGGGAGTTATTCAAACCACTGCATATGGGAGTTATTTAAACCACTGCACATGGTGGTTATTCAAACCACTGCACATGGAGGTTATTCAAACCACTGCACATGGGAGTTATTCAAACCACTGCACTTGGGAGTTATTCAAACCACTGCACATGGGAGTTATTCAAACCACTGCACATTGGAGTTACTCAAATCACTGCACATGGGAGTTATTCAAACCACTGCACTTGGGAGTTATTCAAACCACTGCACATGGGAGTTACTCAAACCACTGCACATGGGAGTTATTCAAACCACTGCACATGGGAGTTATTCAAACCACTGCACATGGGAGTTATTCAAACCACTGCACATGGGAGTTATTCAAACCACTGCACATGGGAGTTACTCAAACCACTGCACATGGGAGTTATTCAAACCACTGCACATGGGAGTTATTCAAATCACTGCACATGGAGGTTATTCAAACCACTGCACATGGGAGTTATTCAAATCACTGCACATGGAGGTTATTCAACCACTGCACATGGGTGTTATTCAACCACTGCACATGGGTGTTACTCAAACCACTGCACATGGGAGTTATTCAAACCACTGCACTTGGGAGTTATTCAAACCACTGCACATGGAGGTTATTCAAACCACTGCACATGGAGGTTATTCAACCACTGCACATGGGAGTTACTCAAACCACTGCACATGGGAGTTATTCAAACCACTGCATATGGGAGTTATTCAAACCACTGCACATGGGTGTTATTCAACCACTGCACATGGGTGTTACTCAAACCACTGCACATGGGAGTTATTCAAACCACTGCACATGGGAGTTACTCAAACCACTGCACATGGGAGTTATTCAAACCACTGCACTTGGGAGTTATTCAAACCACTGCACATGGAGGTTATTCAAACCACTGCACATGGAGGTTATTCAAACCACTGCACATGGAGGTTATTCAACCACTGCACATGGGAGTTACTCAAACCACTGCACATGGGAGTTATTCAAACCACTGCACATGGGAGTTACTCAAACCACTGCACATGGGAGTTATTCAAACCACTGCACATGGGAGTTACTCAAATCACTGCACATGGGAGTGATTCAAACCACTGCACTTGGGAGTTATTCAAACCACTGCACATGGAGGTTATTCAAACCACTGCACATGGAGGTTATTCAACCACTGCACATGGGAGTTACTCAAACCACTGCACATGGGAGTTATTCAAACCACTGCATATGGGAGTTATTTAAACCACTGCACATGGTGGTTATTCAAACCACTGCACATGGAGGTTATTCAAACCACTGCACATGGGAGTTATTCAAACCACTGCACTTGGGAGTTATTCAAACCACTGCACATGGGAGTTATTCAAACCACTGCACATTGGAGTTACTCAAATCACTGCACATGGGAGTTATTCAAACCACTGCACTTGGGAGTTATTCAAACCACTGCACATGGGAGTTACTCAAACCACTGCACTTGGGAGTTACTCAAACCACTGCACATGGGAGTTACTCAAATCACTGCACATGGGAGTTATTCAAACCACTGCACATGGGAGTTATTCAAACCACTGCACATGGGAGTTATTCAAACCACTGCACATGGGAGTTACTCAAACCACTGCACATGGGAGTTATTCAAACCACTGCACATGGGAGTTATTCAAACATAAGCAGACTGTGTATGTTTACCTGTGGCAGGGCGTCTGGTCGGGATTCAAATATGACCATAAGAACTCCGATGGGTACAGTGATCTTCTCCAGCTCGATGCCCTCAGCGATGCGGGTGCGCTGCAAGACCCGTCCCACCGCGGAAAACGAGTCCTCTGCGATCTTCCTCAGTCCATTGGCCAGGACCTGCAGCTTGTTCTCGTTCAGGATGAGTCTCGACACCAGGGGAGAAGCCAGACCTGAAACACAGGCAGGCAGGCACTGAAGCTCAACGCCAGTTAAGTTAGGAGGAACTATACACTTGTCACACATTGACAGGACACAGGTAAACACTTCATGACATTTATTGGCAACCCTCGAAAGAAGCGCGAAACCCAAGCGAGCCACCCATGACAGGCGAGCCCTTCAAGGGGAGCTAACTTTGCATTAATACATGCCAAGCAAACCTGCGTTGGCGTGACTGTCTTTTTTTTCTTCGTGATAAAAGTTATCTAAACAAACCAAAATGAAGAAACACGCGTGAAAAATAACTTGGCTCCTTGGAATAAGTTCTCTTGACCCAAACAGTCAAGATGAGAGTAAACAATGATGCAATAAAGATCCAATTTCTGGTTAACCATGAAATCAATTGGTAAGTAAACCATCATAGGGTAGACTGCCCTCTGGTCGATGGGGATTATTCTGACCCTCACAAACATAACATTTAATAAACAAACACAATACTTCAAAAGTCCAAAACATATTCAATATCACAGCGGGGTCACCAGAAATGGGCTTCACACATTGTACCCATGTATGGAATCAAACCTGGGTCCTTGGTATGACGAGTGAACGCTTTAACAATTAGGCTACCCGACTGCCCCTGCTGTTTGACATACATACAGAGTGAGTGAGTGACTGTTGACAAAGGCACACAGAAGCCTAGCTACTCAACATATAGGCAGCTGATTCAACGTACATGTACTTGAGAGTGATTTATCTACATGTTCCGTTACTCCGTAACAAGTTATTTTTAGTGGTATTCACTCACTCCTTTTTAGCGGTATGCATGTGCACTCTCCTGCAAGGAGTTATCTTTTCTTGTGTTCACTTGCAAAATGGTCTCCAAGCAGGCCATGTGTTAGGGTTCTCACCCGGTTTCGTTAGGCGATAAACCTCGCAACCCGTAGGCAATCATAGCAGTCGAGAACACGAAATACAACCAAAATTAAGCCAATAACTCAAGATTATCGTTTCTTGAGGCTCCTGATCCTGGGTTATCTAAACAGCCAGTTCCCCTCCAGGGGTGAGACTGAACACTACACCTAGTCAGAGGACGATATTTGGCCCAAAGTCTGCAGCAAAATCCATAAAAATTCCCAAATTGGAATTAACCATTTGCCAGTTTACTGACATTAACAGGAACAATGAAGGAGAACATTATTGCACTGAATGCATTATGAAAGTACATTGTTAAATATTGAATAAAAACAAATAGAACAATAAAAAAATCCAAATTTTCTACCAAAATCATTTTTTTTCTCAATGTGCCTGCCAAGGGCACTTAAATAAATCCCTGCTTCTTGTCTCCAGACTTGCATGACGAGTACACCACTCCCCACCTGCGGAGTAGGCCTTCCTGACGTCCAGCTGGTTGGCCTGTAAGATGTCCACCTTCTTCTCCACCAGGAGGTCTGCCAGGCGGTTCACTATGGCCGCACGCTGACCACTGGTCAGAGCCTGGAGCTTCCTCGACCCGTCTCGCGCTGAAGTACAGGAAATAGGGAACAGTGGAACAGACAGGAATGGTAGGATTAATGGCTATGTTGCATTGTCACGGATCTAAGAGAATGGGACGTATCAGGGATCTTGCTGGCTTGATCTATGGTGGCGGTCTGTAAATAAATGGACCAGACAATCCAGTGATTTACATCATGAGCATCGATCCACACAATTGGGATACGATGACATGCAACAACCAAGTCAGCGAGTCTGACCACCCGATCCCCTAAGTCGCCTCTTATGACAAGCATAGTTGACTTTTACGGCAAACATTGGTCACTGAAGACCTATTCTACCCCGGATCTTCACGGGAGATCTAAGTCAGAGTATGCCGCAAACAATAATTGCAACACCTCTTTACAACTGACCCCTGTGAATATAGTTTGTGAAACATACTGGTTGATTTTATTGGTTAATATAAATTATGCATGCATTCTAACATTCAAATAAAGGTGAGGACCGCCACCAGATTGTGTTGTCATGGCAGTCATGTGAACTAGTGAAACTAGAAAATCCAGGTCCAATATGGATTCCTCACGATGTGGCAAAGATCTCATGTACTGTTGTGTCAGTCATCTACCCTGACGACTCCACCTCGGTCAAACGGCTGATCATTTGGAATGGTTATCAGTTATTTGTACCCCAAAGATAGCGTTGAAGTTAGGGATCACTGCATGTTTGTTCCAATTGTGGGGGAGATGGATTGATGTAAGCTGCATGTATCACTGCCTCACCTTGTATAGCCTGCACTTCCACTGGAGTTCCAACATTCTCCTCCATGGTGAAGAATGTCCCGACTTGCTTGCCCTTGACGATGTTGACGATAGCGTTCTCCTCACAACCGTTACAGATGACCACCGAGACGCCCAGCTTCAGAGCCCAGGTTGCTGCATTCACCTGGAGTGAGTGAGTGAGTGAGTATGGTTTTACGCCGCTTTTAGCAATATTCCAGCAATATCACGACGGGGGACACCGGAAATGGGCTTCACACATTGTACCTATGTCGAGAATCAAACCCGGGTCTTCGGCGTGACGAGCGAACGCTTTAACCACTAGGCTACCCGACCGCCCGCATTTACCTGGAATAAATGCAACAAATGTGACCCACCAGGACACTCTCCTACCCAGAGTTCCATGCGGCCAGCAGCCAGGCAGCATAGTACCCCTGCCACAGGCCAGCGCCATGTGACGTTTTGTCTTATCCTCACAGTGCATTCAAGATATTGCATATGCTTTTCATCCGTTTTATTTTTGACAAGTATTCCAGTATTTTACTCATCAAGGAATACATTTGTGTAGGGAGGCCCTTTCCCAGGTTGATTGTACACAATTGTTTATCTGGTTACACAATTGTTTATCTGGTTACAAACCACCAACAAAAATTTTATATAAAAAAAATGACACCACTCGTCCGCAATATATATTTCCAAAAAACATTGCCTGAGAACCAATTCTTTTATCTTTTAAGCCTAAATGTAGTATTTGGGATAACACTTCCTCAGAAAAAAACTCTAGTTATTCTTGGAGTTGAGCCCCCTCCGAGATTTGAACCCACACTCTCAGAGTGAGGCACCAAATTGCCAGCACATAAAGTCAGCAATAGGCTTCCACAATATTTGGGATAACACTTCCTCAGAACAAAGTCCCAACATCAGGAAGCACTCAAGCATACAGCACATTTCTTCATAATTAGTCACTGCATAGCTGAAGCATGCCAACCCCCAAAACATCATGCTCTTTCAGTTCAGTTTGCACCAGAAGCATGTTATTGTGATTTGAAACCTCTGATTGACCAATCAGAGTCATGCAACCTCCAAAGACATGGTTGAAATACAGGTGTTTTCTGATTGTAAGAAAATTATGGTATGGACAATACGATTATCATATATTCCTCTAATTACACATATATTCCTTTAAATAGAGAACACTGAGTATATTTTTTATGATGTTAATAACAAACTGTAACGTGCTTGGTCATACAACTGGTCTTTACTGTTTTCAGCCATAGAAGCCTGTGGCCAGGTGAGCTATCAAAATTCAAATCAAATGTTAAAGGAAACTACATTTTCAATGAAAGTGAAAAGGTTCTATCTACTAACATGAATAGGTCATTTGAATTTCTCACACCATTAATAATTTTTGTTACTTGTACTTTAGCTATGAGAAATAGGAGCCTTGCATATGCAGTGGTTGACACGTAGTAGTGTTGCAGGTACACTGGTAACGGAATAGGACACATCCCTCTACACAAAGTTCTCTTCATATCAAGCAGCCATAGTAGCCACCTGACCCCCTATATGATATTGTGTTATCATATATTTTTTCATCTGTCTATATTGAAGCACTGTTATTTTGAAAAAAAAAATAGTAACCAATTTTCGGTGCCATACCTTTGACTCCATTCCACCAAGTCCAACCCGAGATTTCTCCCCAAAGATGAGTCCATTTTCTGGATAAAGGGGTGAGTAGGTGTGGAGAAGGCGGGACTCTGGGTGACCGGGGGGAGAGGTGTAGAGGCCGTTCACGTCTGACATGATGATCATGAGGTCAGCACTGATCTCCACGGCGAGGCGCGCCGCCAGACTGTCGTTGTCCTTCACACTGATGATCTGAACACAAGCAGCATTAGCATGAGTGAGTGAGTGAGTGAGTGAGTGAGTGAGTTGGTGGGTGGGTGAGTGAGTGATTGAGGGGGTGGGTGGGTGAGTGAGAGAGTGGGTGAGTGAGTGAGTGAGTGAGTGAGTGAGTGGGTGGGTGGGTGGTTGGTTGGTTGGGTGGGCGAGCGGGTGGGTGGGCGAGTGAGTGAGTGGGTGGGTGGGTGGGTGGGTGAGTGAGTGAGTGAGTGAGTGAGTGAGTGAGTGAGTGAGTGAGTGAGTGAGTTGGCTTTTTATGCCACTGTATTTTAGTTGTATCACGGTGGGTGAGATTGATGTGTGAGGAAAGTCTGATAATATTCTAATAAAAGCCCCCTGGGCGCTTATTACGTTGAATACGGTAATTTATATTCCCTGCCTATAGCACATCACCAGAGCATACACAGTCCCTACATTTCGAGTATCATATTTTTTCACGATGCTTTGTCACATGAATTTGACACCAGATTTGTCCCCATGAAATAAGTTTGATTATAAAATTATAATATGTTTTAGGTTATGAGTCATTTATTCATGCATTCACACACTATTCTCATAAATTAATGCACACATATACGTATGCATCTCCGATACATGCCTTCATTCTCGGTACGAAGGTAGCGATATATACGGTAGTTCCAGCAAGTTCATATACCCAATCCATGAAGTCATATACAAACTGGAATCCCCCCGGGGGATGTAATGTCAGCATGCAACTGAATATGAAAATGTTGGCACCTGTCCATGGTTCTTGAAAATGACACCACTTTTGGTGTGTAACCTAGCCTGACTGGCAGTGAAGTACTGAAGTCATAACTCAATCTCCCTTGTCAATTACATATCATATTCCATACAGATTTACAGATTTGTTGCTGCATCAATATGTCGACTCATGTGTATTATTTTCACACCTACGAAACATCCGGCCATGAGGGTCCTGATGGGGGTGGTCAGTAGTAAGATTTTTGGCCAATGGTCAGTCAGCAGTAAAATGACCAACCCAGTGTTTCCCTTGCAACCCAAATGTTATTATCACAGCTGGAAACAGTCACCAAGAAAGCCATACTAATATTTATTAAGATGAGGTAAGTGACATTGGATTTAACGTCGCGTCCAAGATTATTGCACTTATATAGCGACGTGCAGGCACCTGTGTGTGTGTGTGTGTGGCTGCTTGTACTAGATCGGACTGATGCCGATTTATAGTGCTAGCTCAATGAGGTACCATGTCGCAGTTTAACATGAATACCGCACTCAGACACAGTATGCTGACTCTGAGCCGACCAGTCCTTGTTTTAGCCCTTTAATGCCGAGCACCAGACAGGGTTAAAACAAGTACCATCTTTTGACGCGGCCGGGGATCGAACACCGGACCTTCCGCTCTCCGGGCGGACGCTCTACCACTAGACCACGGAGGCGGTCTAATATCTTTTTTAAATTAGATGTTTCCACATATCGCTGCTGTAGCTATTTTGACCTTCAAATTCAAGAAACCTTGGAACTAACATCACTCCTGAACAAGCCATCTGTGTCAAACATTGAAAAAAACTAAAAAAACACCCCAAAACCCTAATTACTCATATACTTTGTTGGGGCTAGGTGAACTGAAACAAAAGTATTTTTTTGTTTAGCCTTAGTAAATTTAATGCAAATGGGCTTTGAAATCTTTCTTAGTCAATAACTGGTGGAACAGTAAATGGTGGGACAGTAAATGTTGGAACAGTAAATGGTAGAACAGTAAATGGTGGGACAGTAAATGGTGGGACAGTAACTGGTGGAACAGTAAATGGAGGAACAGTAAATGGTGGGACAGTAACTGGCGGGACAGTAAATGGTGGGACAGTAACTGGCGTGACAGTAAATGTTGGGACAGTAAATGGTGGAACAGTAAATGGTGGAACAGTAACTGGCGGGACAGTAAATGGTGGGACAGTAAATGGTTGAACAGTAAATGGTGGAACAGTAAGTGGCGGGACCGTAAATGGTGGAAATGTAAATGATGGAACAGTAAATGGTGGGACAGTAAATGATGTGACAGTAAATGGTGGAACAGTTAATGGTGGAACCGTAAATGGTGGAACAGTAAATGATGGAACAGTAAATGGTGGGACAGTAAATGGTGGAACAGTAAATGGTGGAACAATAACTGGTGGAACACTTAATGGTGGGACAGTAAATGGTGGAACAGTAAATAGTGGAACAGTAACTGGCGGGACAGTAAACGGTGGAACAATAACTGGTGGAACACTTAATGGTGGGACAGTAAATGGTGGAACAGTAAATAGTGGAACAGTAACTGGCGGGACAGTAAATGGTGGAACAGTACGTGGTTGAACAGTAAATGGTGGAACAGTAAATGGTGGGACAGTAAATGGTGGAACAGTTAATGATGGAACAAATGGTGGGACAGTAAATGGTGGGACAGTAAATGGTGGGACAGTAAATGGTGGAACAATAACTGGTGGAACACTTAATGGTGGGACAGTAATTTTGAACAATAACTGGTGGAACACTTAAGGGTGGGACAGTAAATGGTGGGACAGTAAATGGTGGAACAGTAACTGGCGGGACAGTAAATGGTGGAACAGTAAGTGGTTGAACAGTAAATGGTGGAACCGTAAATGGTGGAACAGTAAATGGTGGAACAGTAAATGGTGGGACAGTAAATGGTGGAACAGTAAATGGTGGAACCGTAAATGGTGGAACAGTAAATGGTGGAACCGTAAATGGTGGAACAGTAAATGGTGGAACAGTAAATGGTGGGACAGTAAATGGTGGAACCGTAAATGGTGGAACAGTTAATGATGGAACAGTAAACGGTGGGACAGTAAATGGTGGAACCGTAAATGGTGGGACAGTAAATGGTGGAACAGTAAATGGTGGAACAGTTAATGATGGAACAGTAAACGGTGGGACAGTAAATGGTGGAACCGTAAATGGTGGGACAGTAAATGGTGGAACCGTAAATGGTGGAACAGTTAATGATGGAACAGTAAACGGTGGGACAGTAAATGGTGGAACCGTAAATGGTAGGACAGTAAATGATGGAACAGTAAATGGTGGAACCGTAAATGGTGGAACAGTAAATGGTGGGACAGTAAATGGCGGAACCGTAAATGGTGGAACCGTAAATGGTGGGACAGTAAATGGTGGAACAGTAAATGGAGGAACAGTAAATGGTGAAACAGTAAATGGTGGAACAGTAAATGGTGGAACAGTAACTGGTGGGACAGTTAATGGTGGAACCGTAAATGGTGGAACCGTAAATGGTGGAACAGTAAATGGTGGGACCGTAACTGGCGGAACCGTAAATGGTGGAACCGTAAATGGTGGGACAGTAAATGGTGGAACAGTAAATGGTGGAACAGTAAATGGTGGAACAGTAAATGGTAGGACAGTAAATGGTGGAACAGTAAATGGTTGAACCGTAAATGGTGGAACAGTAAATGGTGGAACAGTAAATGGTGGAACAGTTACTGGTGGGACAGTAAATGGTGGAACAGTAAATGGTGGAACAGTAAATGGTGGAACCGTAAATGGTGGAACAGTCAATGGTGGAACAGTCAATGGTGGGACAGTAAATGATGGAACTGCATGGATGATTCTTTTTCGGATTTCATTCTATTTTTCATTGAATTGGTGTTTTACCAAATAGCTTACTAGCTGCTTTTAAACTATAAATAACAATGTAGTGTACACGTCTTGTGGATGTGTCTCGTCAGCTTGTCATCAGTAAACTTGTACGATAAGCAGTACATTCTTATTGGCTGTATTATATCGATGTTGTATGTTAAACCTTTAGGGTCAACTTCAGACTGATCTTATGCTTCTGAAAGTGTTTTTGAGTTATTTAATGTGAGTAGCTAAACCGATCAGAACAATCGTTCACGGGCAACACATGCACAGCTAACATGCTACTATCCTTGACACAAGTATTAGTGTTTCATTGTTAGTCACAGTGTTCTTCTCAACACATGACAAAGCAAGCTCACAAGCAATGGAGCCTAATCAAAGTCTAAGATGAGATCGTTTTTTATGACCTTGTATAGAGCAAGTGAATAGAGGGATGGATGAGTGGGTGAGTTGAGGGATGGGTAAGTGGGTGAGTTGAGGGATGGGTAAGTAATCAATTTGGGTGTTGAGTTAGTTGATGGTAGGGTGAATTGGTGGGTGTGTGAACAAGTCTGTGAGTGGTTTTGATAGACATTTTTTTGTCAGATTGATTAAGTGTGGAGTTAGTTGGGTAAGTGAGTGATTTGGGTGGTGATTTAGTTGATGGTTGGGTAAGCGTGTGAGTTATTGGGTGGGTGAACAATGCCTTCATTCTCGGTACGAAGGTAGCGATATATACGGTAGTTCCAGCAAGTTCATATACCCAATCCATGAAGTCATATACAAACTGGAATCCCCCCGGGGGATGTAATGTCAGCATGCAACTGAATATGAAAATGTTGGCACCTGTCCATGGTTCTTGAAAATGACACCACTTTTGGTGTGTAACCTAGCCTGACTGGCAGTGAAGTACTGAAGTCATAACTCAATCTCCCTTGTCAATTACATATCATATTCCATACAGATTTACAGATTTGTTGCTGCATCAATATGTCGACTCATGTGTATTATTTTCACACCTACGAAACATCCGGCCATGAGGGTCCTGATGGGGGTGGTCAGTAGTAAGATTTTTGGCCAATGGTCAGTCAGCAGTAAAATGACCAACCCAGTGTTTCCCTTGCAACCCAAATGTTATTATCACAGCTGGAAACAGTCACCAAGAAAGCCATACTAATATTTATTAAGATGAGGTAAGTGACATTGGATTTAACGTCGCGTCCAAGATTATTGCACTTATATAGCGACGTGCAGGCACCTGTGTGTGTGTGTGTGTGGCTGCTTGTACTAGATCGGACTGATGCCGATTTATAGTGCTAGCTCAATGAGGTACCATGTCGCAGATTAACATGAATACCGCACTCAGACACAGTATGCTGACTCTGAGCCGACCAGTCCTTGTTTTAGCCCTTTAATGCCGAGCACCAGACAGGGTTAAAACAAGTACCATCTTTTGACGCGGCCGGGGATCGAACACCGGACCTTCCGCTCTCCGGGCGGACGCTCTACCACTAGACCACGGAGGCGGTCTAATATCTTTTTTAAATTAGATGTTTCCACATATCGCTGCTGTAGCTATTTTGACCTTCAAATTCAAGAAACCTTGGAACTAACATCACTCCTGAACAAGCCATCTGTGTCAAACATTGAAAAAAACTAAAAAAACACCCCAAAACCCTAATTACTCATATACTTTGTTGGGGCTAGGTGAACTGAAACAAAAGTATTTTTTTGTTTAGCCTTAGTAAATTTAATGCAAATGGGCTTTGAAATCTTTCTTAGTCAATAACTGGTGGAACAGTAAATGGTGGGACAGTAAATGTTGGAACAGTAAATGGTAGAACAGTAAATGGTGGGACAGTAAATGGTGGGACAGTAACTGGTGGAACAGTAAATGGAGGAACAGTAAATGGTGGGACAGTAACTGGCGGGACAGTAAATGGTGGGACAGTAACTGGCGTGACAGTAAATGTTGGGACAGTAAATGGTGGAACCGTAAATGATGGAACAGTAAATGGTGGGACAGTAAATGATGGAACAGTAAATGGTGGGACAGTAAATGGTGGAACAGTAAATGGTGGAACCGTAAATGGTGGAACAGTAAATGGTGGAACAATAACTGGTGGAACACTTAATGGTGGGACAGTAAATGGTGGAACAGTAAATAGTGGAACAGTAACTGGCGGGACAGTAAACGGTGGAACAATAACTGGTGGAACACTTAATGGTGGGACAGTAAATGGTGGAACAGTTAATGGTGGAACCGTAAATGATGGAACAGTAAATGGTGGGACAGTAAATGATGGAACAGTAAATGGTGGGACAGTAAATGGTGGAACAGTAAATGGTGGAACCGTAAATGGTGGAACAGTAAATGGTGGAACAATAACTGGTGGAACACTTAATGGTGGGACAGTAAATGGTGGAACAGTAAATAGTGGAACAGTAACTGGCGGGACAGTAAACGGTGGAACAATAACTGGTGGAACACTTAATGGTGGGACAGTAAATGGTGGAACAGTAAATAGTGGAACAGTAACTGGCGGGACAGTAAATGGTGGAACAGTACGTGGTTGAACAGTAAATGGTGGAACAGTAAATGGTGGGACAGTAAATGGTGGAACAATAACTGGTGGAACACTTAATGGTGGGACAGTAAATGGTGGAACAATAACTGGTGGAACACTTAAGGGTGGGACAGTAAATGGTGGGACAGTAAATGGTGGAACAGTAACTGGCGGGACAGTAAATGGTGGAACAGTAAGTGGTTGAACAGTAAATGGTGGAACCGTAAATGGTGGAACAGTAAATGGTGGGACTGTAAATGGTGGAACAGTAAACGGTGGGACAGTAAATGGTGGAACAGTAAATGGTGGAACCGTAAATGGTGGAACCGTAAATGGTGGAACAGTAAATGGTGGGACCGTAAATGGCGGAACCGTAAATGGCGGAACCGTAAATGGTGGGACAGTAAATGGTGGAACAGTAAATGGAGGAACAGTAAATGGTGAAACAGTAAATGGTGGAACAGTAAATGGTGGAACAGTAACTGGTGGGACAGTTAATGGTGGAACCGTAAATGGTGGAACCGTAAATGGTGGAACAGTAAATGGTGGGACCGTAAATGGAGGAACTGTAAATGGTGGAACTGTAAATGGTGGGACAGTAAATGGTGGAACAGTAAATGGTGGAACAGTAAATGGTGGAACAGTAAATGGTGGAACAGTAAATGGTAGGACAGTAAATGGTGGAACAGTAAATGGTTGAACCGTAAATGGTGGAACAGTAAATGGTGGAACAGTAAATGGTGGAACAGTTACTGGTGGGACAGTAAATGGTGGAACAGTAAATGGTGGAACAGTAAATGGTGGAACCGTAAATGGTGGAACAGTCAATGGTGGAACAGTCAATGGTGGGACAGTAAATGATGGAACTGCATGGATGATTCTTTTTCGGATTTCATTCTATTTTTCATTGAATTGGTGTTTTACCAAATAGCTTACTAGCTGCTTTTAAACTATAAATAACAATGTAGTGTACACGTCTTGTGGATGTGTCTCGTCAGCTTGTCATCAGTAAACTTGTACGATAAGCAGTACATTCTTATTGGCTGTATTACATCGATGTTGTATGTTAAACCTTTAGGGTAAACTTCAGACTGATCTTATGCTTCTGAAAGTGTTTTTGAGTTATTTAATGTGAGTAGCTAAACCGATCAGAACAATCGTTCATGGGCAACACATGCACAGCTAACATGCTACTATCCTTGACACAAGTATTAGTGTTTCATTGTTAGTCACAGTGTTCTTCTCAACACATGACAAAGCAAGCTCACAAGCAATGGAGCCTAATCAAAGTCTAAGATGAGATCGTTTTTTATGACCTTGTATAGAGCAAGTGAATAGAGGGATGGATGAGTGGGTGAGTTGAGGGATGGGTAAGTGGGTGAGTTGAGGGATGGGTAAGTAATCAATTTGGGTGGTGAGTTAGTTGATGGTAGGGTGAATTGGTGGGTGTGTGAACAAGTCTGTGAGTGGTTTTGATAGACATTTTTTTGTCAGATTGATTAAGTGTGGAGTTAGTTGGGTAAGTGAGTGATTTGGGTGGTGATTTAGTTGATGGTTGGGTAAGTGTGTGAGTTATTGGGTGAGTGAACAAGTCTGTGAGTGTTTTTGATAGACAGTGTGTTTGTCAGAGTGATTAAGTGGGGAGTTAGTTGGGTGAGTGAGTGGGTAGGTAAGTGAGTGAGTAAGGAATGGAGGGAAGGAATGAGACAGGGAGCATTAACTGACTTTAAAAGTCCAGTTTCCACCCTTGCTGAACTAAGCTGGAATTTCCAGGCTTAATCATAGTGCCACCAGTGGCTATTACGACTTATGCACCTTCTATGTCCCTCCAACTGATTCCACCTCTCATATAGCGTGTATTTGCTTCAAACAAAATGTCGGCGCCCTGTCAAGACAATCTGATCGATAATCAAGATCTATATTGTAATGAAACTGGTCGTACTTGCATCAAGTCAATTGAGCACATTGATAAAAAACATGAAAAGATTTGATTGGACTAAGCCAAAATGTAATTCCAGAATAGCAGCTTATTTCGGCAAGGGTGGAAACTGGACTTCAGTTAACGCTCTTGCGTCAGGAAGATGGGAAGGGAGTTGAACCTGAGGTTAGAAATGTTAATGAAGTGAACGTTGTGTGAGTGAGGTTAGGGATGTTCATGAAGTGAATGTTGTGTGAGTGAGGTAAGGGATGTTCATGAAGTGAATGTTGTGTGAGTGAGGTTAGGGATGTTCATGAAGTGAATGTTGTGTGAGTGAGGTTAGGGATGTTCATGAAGCAAATGTTGTGTCAGTGAGGTTAGGGATGTTCATGAAGTGAATGTTGTGTGAGTGAGGTTAGGGATATTCATGAAGTGAATGTTGTGTGAGTGAGGTTAGGGAAGTTCATGAAGAGAACGTTGTGTGAGTGAGGTTAGGGATGTTCATGAAGTGAATGTTGTGTGAGTGAGGTTAGGGAAGTTCATGAAGTGAATGTTGTGTGAGTTAGGTTAGGGAAGTTCATGAAGTGAATGTTGTGTGAGTGAGGTTAGGGATGTTCATGAGGTGAATGTTGTGTGAGTGAGGTTAGGGAAGTTCATGAAGTGAATGTTGTGTGAGTGAGGTTAGGGAAGTTCATGAAGTGAATGTTGTGTGAGTGAGGTTAGGGGTGTTCATGAGGTGAATGTTGTGTGAGTGAGGTTAGGGAAGTTCATGAAGTGAATGTTGTGTGAGTGAGGTTAGGGAAGTTCATGAAGTGAATGTTGTGTGAGTGAGGTTAGGGAAGTTCATGAAGAGAACGTTGGGTGAGTGAGGTTAGGGAAGTTCATGAAGAGAACGTTGTGTGAGTGAGGTTCGGGAAGTTCATGAAGTGAATGTTGTGTGAGTGAGGTTAGGGAAGTTCATGAAGTGAATGTTGTGTCAGTGAGGTTAGGGAAGTTCATGAAGAGAACGTTGTGTGAGTGAGGTTAGGGATATTCATGAAGTGAATGTTGTGTGAGTGTGGTGAGGGAAGTTCATGAAGAGAACGTTGTGTGAGTGAGGTTAGGGATATTCATGAAGTGAACGTTGTGTGAGTGAGGTTAGGGAAGTTCATGAAGAGAATGTTGTGTGAGTGAGGTTAGGGAAGTTCATGAAGTGAATGTTGTGTTAGTGATGTTAGAAGGGCTGCTAGCACGCACATGTGGAGGATGACGTACCCCCGCCAGATCCTTGTCTGGTTCAGGAGGCGGCGCGACTGCATCGTTAGCGTTCAGTATGGGGATGATGTTCAGCTTCAGAAGCTCATTCAGCGTACTCCGGAGGTTCTTGCGGCTCTCATCATTGTAGAAGTCGGGCTTCGTCACCAGGACCTGTGCTGTCCGCACTCCATACTGCATAAACATGGCTTCATACAGCGACATGAGACCACTCTGTCCCGCCGCGGCACACGCCCTCGGCTCCAGGATTGGCTGACCCTGGCAAAATCAGAGACATTGCAGCAACCTTTACTGATACTGTAATTGGTATAATCAATTAACATTGACTTCAATATTTTCTGTGTTTATTGAGGTATGAATGTAAAATATGGTGTGAATACAGAGTAAATTCGTGCAGCGTTTGTTACGTTTATAAGTCAACATAATTTTAATTTGGTTTATGGATGCGCCGCTCTTTAAAAGTCCTAATGTTGAAAAAAAATACAAATTACTCCTTTTTAATGCCGCCAATCTTTACATTAAAAAATGCATGATAAGTTCAAACAAAAATGATTTCGCTTCCTCATTGAGTGTAAAGCAAGTCACTGATATTTTTTGCTGGGATCCTTCTCCAATTACATCAAAGTGTGTCAACGCAGAGCACAGTAGTGAATATTGTGCCAGGGATATAATAAAATGTTTTTGAATACTTGAGTTGTTTTACTTTTGGGACAAAAGTCAAGTATAAAAAATCCAACTATTTTGTTTGTTTTTATTTTAAATTTGCCTACCTTATTTTTTTAATGATTTTGAAATCTGTAAACCAAGAAATAAAAACACATGTTGCCTAACTCCATAAATGAAAAAACATTGTAGTCAATTCTTATAAAAAAACCTTCTCAACAACTAACTTCAGACTGCTTATTTAATCATTAACACAAAAAAAACTGTAGACAACAGTACTAATCAGTGACATTGTTCAGCACAATAATGCAACACAAGCCCGCCCATTCTATTATCAGCCAATCAGGATACAGTATGCCGTTAATAGCCCGGCCTAAATATTTCTTGGTTAATCTAAATAATAGCCAATTAAATAGCAAAAAATCACTTCGAATATATTTATAAGTTGATATTTTAAACTAACAATCAAAATATGTTCTGGTGTCAGAAATTCAATAGTAACCCAACCGTTGAATGTAGTAAAGAGGGAACTGATGAAGCTTGGCTGTATCGATCAGTATGTATCACAAGTTGTCACACAGTAAACTGAGCAGGGCGCCATCGCTCATAACATTTCAAAGAGTTACCATCCTTTGGGGCCCATCGTAAACATTTTCATTTCAAACTTGTATGTTTTGGACTTACAACAATACCAAATTCAGACATATTTCCTTTTGAGTCATCTTCAGATCATAACAGCAAAGTCAATCTCGGCCACCTGGACTCACGACCCCTGAAGATCCGGGGTAGAATAGGTCTTCAGCAACCCATGCTTGCCATAAAAGGTGACTATGCTTGTCGTAAAAGGCGACTAACGGGATCGGGTGGTCAGGCTCGCTGTCTTGGTTGATGCATGTCATCGATCCCAATTGCGTGGATCGATGATCATGATATTAATCACTGGATTGTCTGGTCCAGACTCGATTATTTACAGACCGCCGTCATATAGCTGGAATATTGCTGAGTGCGGCGTTAAACAACAAATCAAATAAAAAATAAAAAACCTAGACTCACTCGAATGTTTTCCCGTTTGACGAGGGTTTCCCTCATGCTCATCGACATGATGATCTCCTGCTGTAGTTTCTGCTTGCCGAAGGCAACAGCACCGCTCGTCACCATCAGCATTTGTCTCCCCTGGTTCTGTAGCTCCGAAACCTGGAATAACAGTAAAAACCTGTTTTTAAGGCCAATACCTTTGAAATTTACGGGACTGCTGGCCCGAGACTTCTAAATTGTGAGGAGGACATGTAAAAATGCAATAATGGTAGTCCTCATTGTCTAGTAGCATTCGAGGGCTATAATTCTGAACCATTCTAAATGCTTCACCTTTGTTACACATTGGATTTCCTGGCCCTACCCGGGCACCCGCTATAGGTCTTAGAGTTGGGGACAAAATGTCAGAATGGGAATTCTTTTACTGCGGCCCTGGCAAAAACTATTTAGACACACGTATAAAATGATCTGCATACACTGAAGTTGACAGACGCTTTATCCTTACTTGAACATATAAAAGTCAGAAAGAATGCTTGCATTTTCAGAAAGAAATGTGAATAATAGCCACTTGTAGTGTAACCATGGAGTTTTATTGTTAATGTCAATAAACAGTATATCAAATGACTAACCACGGGTCCGGGTAGTCATGGGGGTACCCTGGCCCTACTCAGGACCCATCTGAGCCGAGCACCCGAGTTACCTGTCCCAGCCCAATAACTTGTGTAACTGTATTACAGCATAAGCAGTTAATAATGTGTAAAGATTGTGAGTACATCCATTTGGTTTAACACTGCTTGGAACATTATTTCCGTTATATTAATGCATGTCAGCTTTATGTGGGAGAAAAGCATGTGATGTAGGTAGTTTGTAGGTCAATTTAAGTGGCAGTGGGTCATTAGAATAATTAATGCTTACTCCCTGAAAATTTATATAATTTTGATAGAAACAAATACATCCATTTTAATTAAAATGAGTGAGTTGGGTGTAACGCAGCTTTTAACAGTATTCCAGTCATATCGCGGCGTGTCAGCTTAATGTGGGATGAAAGCCCGAAGTGATGCAGGTCTCAGACGTTTACCACTTCGGTGAAACCCACGAGCACGGGTATGGTGCTGTCAAACCTAGAAACATAATTGGGGCGAACCGGGATTCGAACCCACAATCGTAGGTTTCTGGCCTGCCCAAGGGACACAACTCTGCACAGCGAATCGCGGCGCCTTAGACGACTCGGCCACCCGTGACCCCATTTTAATTAAAAAGGAGCCCCAGTAAGATGGGAGATTCAGAACCTGCAGAGGTGTACTCCCGGTTTCCCCAACATTGGAAAACTTAGAACTACACAGGGATTAATGGATTGACACCTGTGGGTATGTCCCTCTGTCTTTTTAGGGGTGACCGACGCTCATTAGACACACTATGATTTCAATGAATAGGAGTATGAACAAACATGTAGTCATGGATTTTTTTATTTACATCGTATTTGATTTCACATGATTTCCATATCACAGCACATGAACATGATTGAATTTCACAATTAATATTCTATACAGTTTATAATGTCTCAACATCAAATTTAAAATACAACTCAACAATTTATAATAAACCAGCATGACATGACATTTCATGATCATCACAAACGTACAAAATGGGCCACAGCATCTGCAAATTCAATTGCTGACTTTCTTCCCTCACGTAAGTGTCTCTTTTCTGCATCAAGTCTGGTCTCAAGATGTTGATACTTAGATCTCCTGGGCCTAAGCATACCCCCACCTACAAGCTGCAGGATATGGGCCTCGGTGTAGGCTTGTTCTGTCTTAAAAAAGTCAATAATTCTGTAGATGTTGGGGTGGGGACTGCCCATGATGGAGGTGAGCTTGAAGTGCCAGCCCTCTACGTCGTTGGTCGTTCTTGGGACGACGGTGTCGTGGTGATTCCAGGTGCTTCATCCATGAACGCCCTCCACAAAAATATCAGTCACATAGTCAGTAAATCGGAGAACTCTGGCATCATGGAGAGGGGCGTCGTTGAGTGCGTTGAGCCAAACATCATCTATGTGGGCGAGAGGAACCAATGGCAAGGCAGCAGCTCTTCTGATCAGTAGTTTAACACTTTCATTACGGCCAAACTCAGTCTGCAGAAACTCTCTCTAGGGCCTTAGCGTTACACTAAGGGCTGGGAGGAAGGGAAAATAATAATATGGTTCAGGGACTGTTTGATGACTAGATTTGTTTTGTTTGTTTGTTGTTTAACGCTGCACTCAGCAATATTCCAGCTGTATGATGGCAGTTTGTAAATAATCGAGTCTGGACCAGACAATCCAGTGATTGATATCATGCGCATTGATCCACGCAATTGGGATACGATGACATGCATCAACCAAGTCAGCGAGCCTGACCACCTGATCACGTTAGTCGCCTCTTATGACAAGCATAGTCGCCTTTTACGGCAAGCATGGGTTGCTGAAGACCTATTCTGCCCCGGATTTTCACAGGTCTTTTGATGGCTAGAGGGTGGTGTTAAAAAAAATAAATTTACTTGAACAAGCATAAAAGGTGTGTCTGAGTTTATCTTTTGATTTTGTTGTGTAGTAGTCTAGAGCAAACATATTGGATACTTTCTTATAACTGTCTGTGTGTGTGTGTGAGACCTATGGGAATGCTGTCATGTGGCCAAGTGTTATCTATTCCCAGGCCATGATAAGAAGTCTACAGTAACCATAGCATACAAGTGTATGCAGGTCACCGCTGGGGGATCATTGCATTATCAGGCGGTCAGGAAGTGACTCGATGTGACACTCTTGTGACCTACATTAAGTACCATCATGGGTCTGAATGTACTGAAAAAAAAATGGCCCTGAGGTTAAAGTTACACATAGATCACATGGTGCAGATATATTTTTGAGAAATTGACTCTATACTCGCATGAAATTTCTCTCATGGTATATATATATTTATAGGGTAATCAATATATTTTATATTGTCTATTGCTTGTTTTAAACCAATGACATTTCTGAAAAAGATTTTCATGGTATGTTTCAGCTTTTATTTCCATCTGACAGAGATGGAGAGAAAACTTAAACATTCACCTATATGTAGCAGGTATACTTTGGAATTCTCTCCCTGCCAACATCAAGCAGCCTGTTTCAAATCAGTCCTGACAACCCATCTCTCCAACTTCTAATTCCCAACTATTCTTTAGGAGTCCTATTAGTGAGTGAATGAGTATGGTTTCATGCTGCTTTTAGCAATATTCCAGCAATATCACAGTGGGGGACACCAGAAATTGTACCCATGTCGAGAATCAAACCCGGGTCTTCGGCGTAACGAGCGGCCGCTTTAACCACTAGGCTACCCAACTGCCCCAGTAGTCCTATGAGCTTGCACTCATGGTTGATATGGTGCAAGAGAAGCCATTATTATTATTTATTTATTTTATCCAATATTATTATTATTATTGTTAATCTGTTCATGTATGCGGTGTGTCCCATGCATATCTTCATCATCATTATTATTATTCTGTTCATGTAGGCCAAAGGTTTGTCCCATGCATAAAGTCCCAACAATGACAATGTCCAAATTCCAATAATCAATACATTGCACTTTTGTGCATTATCCAGAGTTCATTATAGAGTTCATATATTCATGTGATGCCTGCGAAAAAATCAGTAAACAAAGATCTGTATAAAAATACAAGTATGCAGGAGGAGGCCACGTTGAGTATTTACGAGCATTATCGTACTATTTGTTATTGTGAATGTTACATGTGTATTTGTACACAAACTAAAAATATTGAGTGTGATATTCTTTATGTGACATGAGCGAAATATGGGGTGTGATATTCTTTAATGTGACATGAGTGAGTGAGTGAGTGAGTGAGTGAGTGAGTGAGTGAGTGAGTGAGTGAGTGAGTAAGGTTTCACACCGCAGTATTCCAGTTACATCACGATGTGTCAGCTTAATGTTGGCGGAAAGCTCAAAGTCATGCAGGTCTGAGACATTAACAACTTTGGTAACACATGGGTTTATTAAAATTGTACTTAAAATTTTGGGAGACAAGTTTGACAAACTGTTTTTCCTCTTCTTAGATGTTTACCACTTTAATCAATGGGGATATTCCACTGAGACTACATATCAGTAAACAAGCTGTCTACAACAGATGTCCAATCACAGCTTAAATCTTCCATAGTCTTTCTGTGTTGGCATCTGGTTCAGTGTATTGCAGTCAGTGTACAGAAAACGTATTGAACTTTGAGTTCCCCTACCCCAAACAAGTATTGTATCTCACAGGCCGATCCAGGAATTTGAAAAAGAGTCTAGGCATGGTACACAGGTAACATGTAAGGTGTCTGAAACTATGGGTGTGCTGTTTTGTTTGCTTGTTGCTTAACGCTGCACACAAGTGTCTACTTTTTATAACTTATGGCATGTGACACTAAAAATACCAACAGGCAGTGAGAGCATCCTCCGAATGTTTATTAGTTACATCTATAAATGAACCATTACGGAAGTGCTGATGAACCTTGTCTTTGCCTCCAATGGCTGCTATGGCTATGACCAGCCCCGTCGTAACTGGCAAACAAGTCAAATTGGTCAAAACTCTGTCTCGCCGTCCATGTTTGTTTGCTTGTTGCTTAACGCTGCACACAGCAATATTCCAGCTATATGACGGCGGTCTGTAAATAATTGAGTCTGGACCAGACAATCCAGTGATTTGGGGCGTGCATCCCTGCAACCCCCTCTGGATCTGTCAGTGCATTTTCACCAGCCTATCATCATCATCCTGGGACACCTAACCCTCCCAAAACAACAGAAGCCAAATTAAACTACTTTTCACTATGATCACCGCAAGCACGTTTAATTTTAATCTTATTATTACACTATCTGGTTATGAGTGAGTGAGTGAGTTGGGTTTTACGCCGCTTTTAACAGTATTCCAGTTATATCGCGGCGTGTCAGCTTAATGTGGGAGGAAAGCCCGGAGTGATGCAGGTCTCAGACGTTTACCACTTCGGTGAAACCCACGAGCACGGGTATGGTGCTGACAAACCTAGAAACATAATCGGGGCGAACCAGGATTCGAACCCACAATCATAGGTTTCTGGCGTGCCCAAGGGACGCAACTCTGCACAGTGAATCGCGGCGCCTTAGACGACTGGGCCACCCGTGCCCCCTATCTGGTTATGAAAATGTGTTTATTGTATATTGGACCTAGGTTTGTAATATTTTATGATTTAAAATTTCATTCAATATTGTTCACATTAATTTTGGAGAAATAATGTGTGAACTGATCATCAAATTGCCCCTACTCATTGATATTACCGTATTCGACGTAATAAGCGCCCAAGGTGCTATCAGAATTAGAAATAGGGGGCTCTTATTAGAATATTATTTTGTTGAAAAAAAACAGAGTTTCCCTGGTTTATGCTGACAGCCTGAAATGTTTATGTACTACAGATATATTTTTCCAGAATTTAATTGCCCATAATTAAGGGTGCATATAACACATGAATGTGTATTATACGCAAATAAATAAGTATTGTGTACATTGATCAATCGGAAAGGGTGCTAATTGGGAATGTTCACGAGCCAATATATTAGCAAATTTTGCCATGGGCGCTTATTAGAGCGGGTGCTTGTTACGTCGAATATGGTAAATACAGCAACCATGATCAGACTACCGCTATTGATGCCTTGAAACGAGGAAGCAGGAAATACAACTTAAATGGTAAACATCATGTCTAGTGATGTTTTATCTCAATTTTCAAATTTCTATTGATCAAGTTTGTTATGTACCTGATCGTTCACCTGCATTCGCTGAATCGAAATGAAATAGTTATTCACTGCACATAATGCACAATATTTTATAGTCAAACTCTGATATACAGTAGAACACGGATATAACGAACTACAAGGGACCAGAGAAACCAGTTCGTTATATGCTTTGTTCGTTATATACATTTTCGCTCGGAAGTGTCCGCCATCGTGGCTAAAGCAAAACGCAATACACGTTTCCTCACGCATCTACCGGTGATTCAGTTAAAAAGTACCCAATGATACAACTTCAAAACATTTTGATCCAAATCTAGGATCAATGATTGTTTTACAGACAAGATTGGTCCAAACTACATGGACATGTAAGATTAACATAATGCAAGTTTAAGAAGGTCGAAATGTCCATGACACTTGACACTGAGTGAAATTTCTCAGTGTGCTATATGCGTCACTATTTAGTGGTAGATGGGCCTTGTCGGTGATCAGATATCAGTTCGCTATATCCGTTACTTCGCTGTAGAGAGTTCGTTATGTACGTAAATGATATATATAATATATAGGAGATAAATCGGTTTTTTTTTAACAGTTCGTTGTATCAGTTTGTTCGCTCTATCCGTGTTCGCTCTATCCGTGTTCACTCTATCCGTGTTCGTTATATCTGTGTTCTACTGTATATGCAACATGAGGTGTAGGTTGCATTCGGGAGGCTAAGCATGTACTGTTGTGTTAATTATTTCCCTCTACGACTCCATTTCGGTTAAACCGCTCATCATCTAAAACACTCATTAATTATTTGGACCCCAAATGTAGCACTGTCACGAGGATCACTGTACTAAATTTATTTCATAAAGGCATTGATGCTTTTCGTGATTTTTGTTTTCTCTCATGACTTTCTCCTTCGACCACCAGGAGCAGGTGAACGATAGTGTGACCATGACATACCTAAACCTAATCCATGCTACAGCAGAATTTTGGGTAAGAAGATTGGTCCCCAGTTACCCATGCTTGTTTTGAGGCGAGTGAGTGAGTGAGTGAGTGAGTGAGTGGCGCTTGGCTATATTTTAGCAATATCACGGGGGAGGCTACACGGCTGAGGAAATACCCTGGCAACATGGACTACTGCCATCAGCCAGTGGTTAGTTAATAAGGGGGAAATGATACATCGGTGCACAGGTGCATCATGAGTTTACATGCAACGATACAATACACGATACGACCATATAATTGCTAAAACTACTTACTTAGTACTCGTTTAATGAACTCAGCATTTTGTCAGTCAAATATCACAAATGTGTTGTAATAAGCGTTTCAAGTTCACGACTGAAAATAGCCACAATGAACATGTGTCTACAGCTAGCTTTTCCAATTGAACCTGCTCTGAAATATTAATCATAAGAAGTTTCCACACAATTTCAAGTAAATATGGGTATCACGATATGTATCGTATCGCTACCTGTGTATTATTATACGTGTTGTATTGTGACCTTGCTATATCGTTTCTGACTCAGTTAATGACTGATTGCTGTGATGTAGACAACCCACTAGATTTTCAATCAGTCTATGTACAGGTAGGGTAGTGATTCAGCTTCCCCAAGCAAACAACAGCTGAAAACATCCATCAATGAACCCATAGTTAATATGTGTAACAAAGGTGCATGTATCCACATACTATCACTGTGTAGCTACTTTGACCTACAAATTCAACATTGCAACTAACATCAGTTACATGCCATCTGTGAATCTAATAAATGTTTGTTTGTTTGTTTTTCTGTTGTTTTACACCGCACTCAGCAATATTCCAGCTATATGACGGCGGTCTGTAAATAATCAAGTCTGGACTGGACAACCCAGTGATTGACATCATGAGCATCGATCCACGCAATTGGGATACTATGACATGTATCAACAAAGTCAGTGAGCCTGACCACCCGATCCCATTAGTCGCCCCTTACGACAAGTATAGCCACCTTTTACGGCAAGCATGGGTTGCTGAAGGCCTATTCTACCCCGAATCTTCACATGTCAATTGAATACATGAATAAAAAACAGAACAGAACCGACCGAACGACCCATTTTTGTCAAGAATGGGTCCATGTTACCTGAAACACAATTTTTTGTTTGACCTCATCACCTGTTCTACGATTGAGGCCAGTCTTCCAAGCGCTATCCCGCATTCATCCTCGCGAGTTATTACCGCACTGCCAAGCTTCACCACAACTGTCTTTGCTTTAGGCAAGTCTGACCGCTGGCCGGCATTGAGTTTCTGCACTGAACTGACCGACAAACACTTGGGCAGCTGACCGTTGGTGTAGGTCAGTTTGGACCGTTGTCCACACAAAACACAGTACGTCTGCTGCCGGCACAGAGATTGTGTTGTCCTAACAACTTGAAACATGTTGAAGATCTGAAAATAAACAAAAACATCATTAAATTCATATGAGTGTCATTTGAACCACTAGTTGAATTTAAAAGAATTTCCTGAGAGCACTATTGACAGCTTCATACTTTTCATACATTTACAATGGAATAATTACCGAAAGGGGTTAAAAAACATTTTTTTTGTTTCTTGTCTTGATACAAGGGAATATCACTTTCATGAATGAGTATCTTGTTGTGAGGGCTTCGACCCTGTTAAAACCTCACCCCACAAGGCTGTGACAGAGTGTCTGGGTGAGAGAGTGTCCATGCAGACAAAATCTCACCCCACAAGGGTGTGAGAGAGTGTCCATGCAGACAAAACCTCATCCCACAAGGGTGTGAGAGAGTGTCTGGGTGAGAGGGTGTCCACGCAGACAAAATGTCACCCCAAAAGGATGTGACAGAGTGTCCACGCAGACAAAACCTCACCCCACAAGGGTGTGACAGAGTGTCTGGGTGACAGAGTGTCCAAGCAGACAAAACCTCACCCCACAAGGGTGTGAGAGAGTGTCTGGGTGAGAGAGTGTCCACACAGACAAAATCTCACCCCACAAGGGTGTGAGAGAGTGTCCATGCAGACAAAACCTCATCCTACAAGGGTGTGAGAGAGTGTCTGGGTGAGAGGGTGTCCACGCAGACAAAATGTCACCCCAAAAGTGTGTGACAGAGCGTCCACGCAGACAAAACCTCACCCCACAAGGTTGTGAGAAAGTGTCTGGGTGAGAGAGTGTCCACGCAGACAAAATGTCACCCCACAAGGGTGTGAGAGAGTGTCTGGGTGAGAGGGTGTCCACGCAGACAAAACCTCACCCCACAAGGGTGTGAGAGAGCGTCTGGGAGAGAGAGTGTCCACGCAGACAAAACCTCATCCCACAAGGGTGTGAGAGAGAGTCTGGGTGAGAGAGTGTCCACGCAGACAAAACCTCATCCCACAAGGGTGTGAGAGAGCGTCTGGGTGAGAGAGTGTCCACGCAGACAAAACCTCATCCCACAAGGTTGTGAGAGAGCGTCTGGGTGAGAGAGTGTCCATGCAGACAAAACCTCACCCCACAAGGGTGTGAGAGAGTGTCTGGGTGAGAGAGTGTCCACGCAGACAAAACCTCACCCACAAGGGTGTGACAGAGTGTCTATGTTGACATGAAAACCTGGTCCCATTAATTTATCCAAGTTGAAACATACCCTTCTCTGTTGCCTGTATATCAATGACACTGCTGTCAATCATAGTAGCAATTTTAACACATAATCTTGAAGTACCCACAGTTTGAAGACATCAAGAACAAGAATGTATGAAAGTACTGAGTGTGTTCAAATATGGATTTTGTGCTTGAAAATATCAGACATGTCATTTGAATTTTTTTTAAATGCACTTGGTGCATTCAGACTAGACTAACATTTAGTCTCTGAAATCTTATATTACACAATATCCTTCTTGACTCTAAAAATAAAAACAATTCTCTATGCTGATTTCAGCTGGAATAGAGCTAGCTTGAGATGGCTAGACTTGCTTTTGTATGCATTTCTAGATTATTATTTTTTCATAAAATAAATATATTCCACGGTCATGGTGCAGGACTACATTCAGACATAAATATTTGGTTGTATTTGTCAATAATAGGTGCATGTTTCATTTACCTAAAACAAGCCCCAAGGTATTAACATCAAGCATAAGAATTATGCCAATAAGGCACCACTCACATCCATGACAACATGTAGATGAAAAGTGTACGAGGGCGGTCTAAAAGTAAGTGACTTGTTCTAGTTAATCCATCCATTCATGTATAGTATGACATTAAAAGGGTGTGTTGGGGGGTGTAACGGACATAAAATTTCCACTGCCTGTGATGGTATTTGAACCACGGTCCGCCCTGTCCACATGACCAAAAAGGTTACCCCGTCAGCATGGTCAGCAAGCTGACAAGGTAAGGTTGACATCTGTGGGATGACTCCACACTCTGCTGCACTAACTACTTGGGTGTGCAGGTGTGCGGCTGGGTGGGTGGTGGTGGTGGTGGTGGGTGGGTACGTTGGTTTATGGCAGCAGTGTTTCATACATGAAACAAATGTTAACAAATGTTAACAAATGTTAACGTTGATCACATCGATCACATGTCTGGCTCAAATGAGACAAAGAGAACTAAAAGATGCAGATAGGAAATCATAAATTTGTTTTCGAACATTCTACAATCCACGCAATTGGGATCGATGACATGCATCAACCCAGTCAGCGAGCCTGACCACCAGATCCCGTTAGTCGCCTTTTACGACAAGCATACTCGCCTTTTACGGCAAGTATGGGTTGCTGAAGACCTATTCTACCCTGGAATCTTCACGGGTTGGTTTCCACGTTGACAACTAAAATGGTAATATGAACAGAATCAGAATACGTCGTAATTCAATTTCCTCAAGCAGTATATAAGTCTTGTATGTACATATTATGCTTGTGTTTGAGATGGTTGAGTGAGTATGGTTTACGCCGCTTTTAGCAATATTCCAGCAATATCACCGCAGGGGACACCAGAAATGGGCTTCACACATTGTACCCATGTCGGGAATCGAACCCGGGTCTTCGGCGTGACAAGCGAACTCTACATTAAGAGGCGTACTCATGAAAATGGCCAAAACAAAAACAGGTTAACATCCTGAAGATGAAGGTGCACTCATTTCACTATTTTCACAGCCTTTAGTGTTTTTGTTACTCTTGGAAAAGTTTCCCACACATAACCACAGGTAGCTCTGAACCTATAGATAAAAGTTCTAGTTTAACCAATCATAAAACATGTCATGTCACAAATAATGACCCAGATTTCCAGCACTCTCATTTCAACAATCACGGTTACAGTCATCTTACAGTTGTTTTGTAGTAAAAATTAGTCCCTGAGAATTCCTTCTTTATTCATAATTTTTCGGTTGTGTCGAACCTCGGATAACTTGATGTACTTATGAAAGTCTGTTCATCTTCGACACAACAGTGTTTGACTGTTCTTCACCTTTCTCACAGAATTTGACAGTCTCAGTTCAGCATTCTCTCTTTTCTCCCAACACTTTAAGGCGACTATGCTCGTTGTAAGAGGCGACTAACAGGATCGGGTGGTCAAGCTCGCTGACTTGGTTGATGCATGTCGTCGATCCCAAATGCGTGGATCGATGCTTATGATATCAATCACTGGACTGTCTGGTCCAGACTTGATTATTTACAGACCGCCGTCATATAGCTGGAATAGTGCTGTCAGTGCGGCGTTAAACAACAAACAAACCAACTAAATCCTAACACTTTCAAGGTCCCATTTGCACAAATCGATCTCCCATACTTTAACATAGGTTTACAATAGTCGTAGCGGTAAGATCGCTTTGTGCAAGTGGGCCCAGGACTTGTTATTCCATGTCTACACATTTCACTTCATTTCCTCCTTACACAACAGAGGCTTGGATTCCTATTCCTGAACAGACAAACACTTACACAAAATAAGTTTTTTTCTTCAATAAAGATGAATATGCACATTGTTTTGTATGCTGAAGTAACACATGTTTGTGAGGATCAGTTCGTGCATGTTTAGTTACAGTGCTTTATTTAATCATGAACCAAAAAAAGGCTAATGAATATAAATTGAAAAAGAACACACAAAAAACCCCAACAAATTGAAGTGCTTGGACAGAGAGGGATACCGTATTCAACATAATACGGGCCCAGGGAACTCTCAAAATTAGAAATAGGGGTATGGTGCTTATTACATTGAATACGGCAGTAATGTATTCAAGAACAGTATATAGGTGAGGTGAAATTGGGTTTAACGTCGCGTCCAAGATTATTGCACTTATAAAGCGATGTGCATGTACGTGTGTGTGTTTGTGTGGCTGCTTGTACTAGTCCGGATTAATGCTGATTTATAGTGCTAGCCCACTGAGATACCATGCCGCAGTTTAACATGAATACCCCACTCAGACACAGTATACTGACTCTGAGCCGACCAGTCCTTGTTTTAGCCCCTTAATGCCGAGCGCCAGACAGGGTAACAACAAGTACCATCTTTAAACGTCTTTTGGTACTGCGGCCGGGGATCGAACCCCGGACCTTCCGCTCTCCGGGCAGACGCTCTACCACTAGACCACGGAGACGGTTAAACAGTATATAATAGCACTGTGCTTGTTGGTTGTTATTATTCTAAGCAATGATATTGGAAACATTTACAAAGACTGAAAAGTGTGTGTGTGTTAGTGCTAGCCCACTGAGATACCATGCCACACTTTCACATTAACACCCCAATGAGCACCTTAATGCCCAGTACCAGGCAGGGTAACAACAAGTACCCTCTTTTCACATCTTTTATTATGATACGGTCGGGGATTGCACCCCGGACCTTCCGCTCTAAGGCCTCTATACCATGGAGTCGGTCTACAGACATAAGTTAAAGTAGTATCATGAGGGGTACATGTGGTTTTATTCATCCCACGTAAAACCACACATACCCTGAGTGATACTGCTACAACAAATTTATCTTGCTGACATGTCTCAATCTTGCATTGTAAAAGAATCAAAACAACTTGAAAATTGATAGAACAGCTGTTCGAGCTGAGGTTAACTTGAACTCCGTCATGTGACTTTCAGCTTTAAGCTTCGTAGCAGTATACAAGCGATATTGTCCTGCTAAAAAATTCATGTGCAGCCTGTTTTCTTCGTGGCAGGGTATACTATACGGGATATTATTCTCCCGCTTAGAAATTTATTTCTCTCCCAGGCGGCGAACAAATTATTTTATCAAGAGCATGTGAACCAACAGATCTCAGCATTCTGACATGAAGGTAAGATACAGCGTTTGTTTAATGCTGTGCTTGGCAATATTCCAGCAATACGATGGCGACCTGTAAATAATTAAGTCTGGACAAGACAAACCGTTGAGGTATGATGACATAGAGCCATCTTCCTGTGGCAAGGGCGTTAACTGACAATAAAAGACCAGTTTCCATCAGCATTGATCCATGCAATTGGGA